CAGGGACTGTCTCTGAGATGAACTGATTAGCCTGCTTTTGATAACCTCTCCCTCAGAGGGGAGCAGCCTTACCAGCCTACAGAGAAAGACAATGCAAGCACTCTTGATGGATAAGAAGGAAGGAGAGGAAGACCTCCCCTATCAGTGGACTTGGGGAAAGGCATACATTGAGAAGAAGAAGTGAGGGTAGGATTGGGAGGTGTGGGGAAAGGGAGCTACAGGGGATACAAAGTGAATAAAGTGTAATTAATAAAAATTAAAATTAAAAATATTTATAAAAGAACTGAAGAAGTTAAACAGCAACAAATCTAATAATCCGATTTAAAAAAACTGGTACAGAGCTAAACAGAGAATACTCAATAGAGGAATATCGAATGGCAGAGAAAAACATAAAGAAATGCTCAACATCCATACTCATCAGGGAAATGCAAATCAAAACGACCCTGAGATTTCACCTTATACCCATAAGAATGGCTAAGATCAAAAACTCAAGAGACAACACATGCTGGAGAGGTTATGGAGAAAGGAGAACCCTCCTCCACTAATGGTGGAAATGTAAGCTTGTACAACCACTTTGGAAATCAATCTGGCATTTTCTCAGATAATTAGGAATAGTTCTACCGCAAGATCCAGCTATATGACTCTTAGGCCTATATCCAAAAGATACTCAAGAATACAACAAGAACATTTGCTCAACTATGTTTGTAGCAAATTTATTTGTAATAGCCAGAAGCTGGAAACAACCCAGATGCCCCTCATCTGAGGAATGGATACAGAAATTGTGGTACTTTTGCACAATGGAATACTACAAAACAATTAAAAACAAAGCAATCATGAAATTTGCAGGCAAATGGTGGGATCAGAAAAGATCAGCCTGAGTGAGCTATCCCAGAAGCAGAAAGACACACAGGGTATATACTCACTCATAAGGGGATATTAGACATATAATAGAGGATGAACCTACTAAAAATCTGTATACCTAAAGATACTAATCAAGAAGGACAACTCTAAGAAAGATGCTCAGTCTTCATTCAGAATGGCAAAGAGGATGGACATCAAAAGAAGGAAAATACAGGAAACAGGACAGGAGCCTATCACAGAGAGCCTCTGAAAGACTCTACCCTGCAGGGTATCAAAGCAGATACTGAGACTCATAGCCAAACTTTGAGCAGAGTGCAGAGAATCTTATGAAAGAAGTGTGAAATAGTAAGACCTGGAGAGGACAGGATCTCCACAAGGAGAGCAACAGAACCATAAAATCTGGGTACAGGGGCCTTTTCTGAGACTGATACTCCAACCAAGGACTTTCATAGAGATAATCTAGAACCAAGAATAAAAAATTTAAAAAAAATTATTCTTGTTATTTTCTGGCAAAATTATTATTATTTTTTAATTTTAGTTTTATTATTAGTTACATTTTATTAACTCTGTATCCCATTCCTTCATTCACTCCCAATCCTACCCTCCCTCCCTCATCTCCTCCCTGCCCCTTTCCAAATCCACTGATTGGGGAAGACCTCCTCCCCTTTCATCTGACCCTGTTTTATCAGGTATCTTCAGGACTGGCTGCAAAGTCCTCCTCTGTGGCCTAGCCAGACTGCTCCTCCCATGGAGGGGTGGAGAGGTCAAAGAGCCCGCCATTGAGTTCAGGTCAGAAATAGTCCCTGTTCGCCTAGGAAAAACCAATTGGTTACTGAGCTACCACAGGCTACATCCAAGCAGAGGTTCTAGGTTAGATCCATACATGGACCTTGGTGGAGTATCAGTCTCAGGAAGGACGCCTGCGCCCAGATATATTTGGTCCTTGTGGAGCTCCTATCCTCTCCAAGTCATACTAACTTCTTTCATATGATTCCCTGCACTCTGTCTCTGTTCACTTCAAACTGCTACATGCCACATGCCAACACTGAATGCCACACTTTCTCTCTCCAGGCTCCCATATTTCTATCCCTCAGAGTCCTAGACCACGCCCCTCTCCATGCCGCAGGCTGTTACCAGCTGGTAAAGGCCACCCCCAGAATGAGACAATTATCAAGTATGGACAAACTATAGCCCAAACTAAAATCCCACACTTGGGATTAAAACAAAAACATATTTACATAACATAACTGAGTTTACAATGAAACCAAAACTTTCATTACAAGGAGGAGGAGGGAGGAGAAGAAAAGGAGGGAGAAGGAGGAGGCAGTGTTGGCAGTAG